CACTAAAATTTTCTGCTCATAATCAATGTGAAGAAAAGAAAATTACAAACAAAAGCACTATGTAGTAACCACATACACATAAATCCATGATGATTGCAATTCAACAGCTAGCAAATGAGGCCTGAACTATTACACAAAAAACAACATGGCCTTTGGAAGGTAATTATTTTGAGAGGCTAGACTGAGTCTGTCATAACTTCCTTGTTTTCAGTGGGAGAGGATAAGAGGGATTTATTACACAAAAGTCCACAACCAGGCATAGAAACAGTTATTTCCACTCAGTTAGACCACAGACTGCCCTGTCTGACCCAAGGGCACCACACCCACAAAAACAAAACAAAACAAAACAAAACAAAAAACAAGTCCACAAAGAAACTGATTCAATTTTTAAATATGCTTGGTTATTTTACATTTAACCTTTAAAATAACTAGGGCTGCAGCTAACGATTATTTTAGTAATTGATTAATCTATAGATTATTCTGTCGATTAATCGAGTAATCAGATTTTAAAAATTCTCATCTTCTGCAGTCATTACTTAAGCTTATTTTATGACAAATACTATTGTGAAGGGGTAATCTACACTTGCTGATGATCCTGCTGTAATCAAAGTAAAATTACAATACCAGTTGTATTTAGTTCATGCATTTTAAGCTCCACTTGTTTGTATTTATGTGTGTGAAGTTTGAGGAGGCATTACTTAAAAGCACTCTGTCACTGAATCATTCTTAACCATCACTGAAAAAGCTAAATTATGGTAATTAATTTTTATGGATTGGAAAACAGAATGTGATCTTTTATGTTAGAAATTTAGTAAGTAAAATGGAAAATATAAAAATTTGGGTGTTGCACATAGAGTTTTGTAGAGTTCATATGTTATTGTAAGACCAATATGAAGCGACTCGTTTCTCACAACGGGCCTCATGCAGGAACATGTTCGTATTCTTATCCTAAATTTCTCTTACTTTTGTTCGTACAAAGGGTTCGTACGAACATGTCACATCAGATTCAACAAACTCTTCTATCTTCAGGAAAAAATGTGTAAATGAGCTGCGTAAATTCCACCTGTTCCGCCAGTGAACTGTTGTTTCCCATGGGACATTTTTCCTTGCTGCACCACTATGTGCGTTAGCATGCTAATGTTTGGAGCAGCTAGTTGCAGACGCGGGTGGCGATTCCGCTGCTTATACTGACTGACGTTTAAAAAACATCCCGTTTTCACCATCGCTGAATGTAGTAAACACCTCTTCAGTGACGTGCACAGTTAGATTTAACGCGGTTAGTTAATACGGAGACGTTATGCTGATGGAGACTTAACGTGGTTTTATTGTGAAAAGCCTGCAGGAAGTAGTTCGTGGTGGAGTTGGAACTGACTGGTGTGCAAGGTGAGTCGTGCTGATAAGCTTTAATAAATAACATAAAACAATAAACCCGATCATAATCTTTTCTTAACCCTCCTCCTTCACGACTGGACCAAAATGCATGACTGCTGTCTCCAACCACCAGTCAGCAGTGGTGGACAGTAACAAAGTACTTTTACTTTATTACTGTAATTAAGTACATTTTTTGAGTATCTGTACTTTACTTGAGTAGTTATTTATTTGGGAACTTTTTACTTTTACTCCACTACATTTCAAAGACAAATATTGTACTTTTTACTCCACTACATTTCTAGGAAGCTTGTAGTTACTTGTTACTTTTAGATCAGCATATTATAATCCGCTGTAAAAAAAAAAAAGAAAAGAAAAAAATCTGTTGTTCCGGTTTTTCTTTTCATGAAATGCAATTGGCCACAAGCTATGTTCGTCACAAAGGTAACCAATCACATGCGTAGCTTATAGCCTACGTCACACTCGTTAACTCTCGGTAGCGGAGCGCGCGCTCCCATCACTTTACTTTCATTTCAAGCAGAACCAGACAAAAGAAGAAGATGCAATGGAGACCACTGAGGAAACGCAAGGAGAGAAACCAGCACACCCATGGCCACATCTCAGTTCAATGTTCGAGGTTTTAGGACTTAAAAATAATACGTATCAGTTCAAATGTCTTCTCTGTTTACCACGGGTAAATTACCTTTCAGCATTCCATAACTCACCATCTAACCTGAGAAAGCACATTGAGGTAAGTCAGCAAACATTTTTCTCACTAGTTTAAACGCTTTAAATGAAGTTGAGTTTAGTTAGAGTGGTTGTGGTTTAATGCTGTGAGAGATGATTGAAAAATAGCCGACCATTGTGTGCTAACTGCTAGCTTAGAGCACCGTGCGGGTGCCCCTTGGGGCTCTGTGCTCGGGATCCCTCTCAGACCCTTGGGCTCTGGTCTTCCCTATGTCTGCCTCGTGTCTTGGGGGTTGGGTCTCGGTCCTCCACAGTCACTATTAAATATTCCATTGGAGACATCTTGTATATACACACATGTTCACAACCGCTCACAAACAGGTGCTCTGATCCAGGGGTTCTGACTGGTCACTGAGTGTGTATATATGTCTATGTGTATATACTGACAATATTTATGAATGTAGGCATGTTTGTATGTATATCTTTATATATGTATGGGTATGTGTATATTTTTATATATGCCCTCCATGTATTTATCCATTTATTTTTCAGGTGAGTGGACAGATGTTGGGTGTGTGGTCCTGTGTTTTGTTGGTGTATATTTATTTTACTTCTAATCACTATTTCAATGTTTCTATCTTTCTAATTACTTCTCTCTCTGTTTTTCTCTCTGTCTCTATTTTCTCTTCACTTAAAAAAGTCACTGATGATGAAGAAATAAATAAAATAAATAAACTAATATTTAGTTTTGTTTTCTACTGAAGTGACAAAAAAAGAAAAGTAAAAAAGAGAATGTAATTTGTACTTTTACTTTGTACTTAAGTACTTTAAAATGCATGTACTTCTGAATACTTAAGTATTTTCAAAAGTAAGTACTTCAGTACTTTTACTTGAGTAGATTTTTGACTGAGTAACTTTTACTTGTAGTGGAGTAGATTTGACCATGAGTATCAATACTTTTACTCAAGTACTAGAGTTGAGTACTTTGTCCACCACTGCCAGTCAGAGAAGAACAGACACAGAGGAGGGAAACAGAGACACAGACAGAGGTACAGTTAAAGGATAAAAGTCAATAAGCAGGGTTTGTACATTTTATTATCAGCTGAGCTGTGATGAAAAGAAAAATACCGTCAAATACCGTGAAACCGGTGAAAATGTTGAAAATACCGTGATATAAAATTTTGATCATATCGCCCAGCTCTAGCAGAGAGGAGCACCAAGCGGACTGACTGGAGAAACCTCCAGTCACTCTACCTGGTGGCATTAATCGTATTAATCGTCAAGTGTCAAAAAATAATCGATTAATGTTTTTCTGACGATTAATCGCACACGATACGATTATGCCCAACCCTAGTGTGAAGGTGTCCAATCCAGGTCCTCGAGGGCCACTATCCTGCATGTTTCACTTGTTTCCCAGATCCAACACAGCCGATTCAGGGATTTAATTAACTCTTCAATTTCTGCTGAAGCACATTAATCAACCATTCATTCAAATCAGGTGTTAGAGTAGAAAAGTCTCTATAACATGTAGAATAGTTTTATTTAAGTGTTTTGTAATTATAAAACAAGACATTTTTTTCTGTTAAAGTAAATATTCAGTTCTAAATAATTATAAATGTTAATTCCTTTGTGTTGTAGTTTGTTGAATCAAACTCATATTAAATTGCCCTGTATTGTGATTAAGGACAGCACTGTATCATGTTGTATCGACTCTTGCTGCTGATGTGATTTCTGATTGTAAAATGACTCCCTGACTAGTCTTGGAATGAAGAAATTAGTCAAAGAGTTGCACGCAGAGTCGATTGTTCACGTCTTAAAATGATTTGGGCAAAGTTGTAGCTGAGGGAATATCTTCCAACAGTGTCTAATATTAAACAGGTGAATGCTGAGGATTGTGAGCAAACAGTTAAGCCATGAGAACAAATCAGAAGCAGCTAATAGGTAAAAATAAAAAATAAAAATACAGTTTTCTGTTAAGTCTCTCCTGACATATTGGGGCCATGTATGGCACCAGTGGGGCCATGGCATTCCTGGCTAATGCAGATGGACTTGTCGGGGAAATGACTGAGCAAACAGGAGCCAGAGAGGCTTCCCTTTACTGGCACCAGTGCTTTTGTCGCTACTAATCCTCTCCACAGATCCACAATCAAACCCTCAGCACCATATAGCCACCAATAATAACATGGCACAGTGAGGGACACGAAACAAATTCCACTGTCCAAAGCTGGAAGACCGACGCCAGTTTGCACATCAGATCTGAGCACAGAAAGCAGCACGGCTTAAAGCCATATGACTGGGGGGACTGGAGCCTTTTCGTGGCTTGGAGTAAAGCAATAATGACTTTAAAAGACAAGTCAGTAAAAAAGAAAAAAGTATACTGCTGTGCATTATAGTCGCATACAATACGTGGTAAGATGTGTGCGATAACAAAAAAGAAAAAAAAAACTATTTAGCCAAATTATTTGAACACTGAAGTGAAATGTAAAGATGGAGATGTGAGGAGCCAAAGAAGAAAGAGCCATGTGTGTCCACAGCTGAACAGCAGGCTGTGCAAACAGAGCTGGATATTCACTGAAAGACATTAATACAGTGGTTCCTGGGACTGACATTAAAGCAGTTGTGCCTCACAATGCTCCACTAAAAAGGACTATGATCGAGTGAATCATAAGAGCAAACAATGGGAAATACTATAACAATGGGTTTTTTTTGTCTAATATAAACTTGCATCTATTTACCTTTAAAACAAAAAGGCTCTCACATACACAACAAATAACAGAAAAACAGTAAAGATCATAAACTTTAAGAACACGCACAGTTGTTGCTTTACTCTACAGCTGAATTAGTAAGTGTGTTGATTTTTAGAGTACTTTTTTTTTTTGCATAAGCCCAAAGAGGTGGACCTAGAAAGCAGCTGAATGACGTGAAAAGTAGGGCAGTATACTCACTTGTCATATTCCGTGTTGTCTTTATCACAGCGGGCATCCTTGTGCTTCTGCCAGTCTTTGCCATGCTTACACGTAGTGAGAAGGACCACGTCCTCCGAGTTATGCACATGATATAAAGCGTTCCTAGTGTCTGAACCTATTCCAGTCAGGTACCTTTTCCCCTTAAAGACAAGCATGTACTTCCTGTAAGGGGGGATTGTGTTGTGTTTCAAGTAACCCCTATCCCCTCCTGTCCTTGGGTGATCTTTAGAAAAAAGTGGGATAGAAATGTCAAAGTTGGGTCTAAAGTTCTCGGTACTAATACTGGCCTTGGCCAACATGGCAAGGCCGATGTCAAAGCCAAGGTCTTCTGTGTAATCTGGCCAAGTACCGGAATATAAATTGAAGATTATGTGGTTTCTGCCCTCGTTCCACAGAGGAAGGCTCTGGATTTTTGCTTTCAAATTGTGCACATAATATGGCGAAAGCTGGTCCCGATCCAGGGTGTCCAAGCTCAGGACAAAAAGGCACGCCTGCCCTGGGTCTGGTGTGTAGAACCTGGACCCTTCAATGGAGGACAGGACGTTCTGGTAACTCTCGGAGAGTTTTTCTCCTTTCTGCTGGGGGTACACGTAAACTTTAAACCCGTTCCTCTCGCACGAGGAGAAGTCGAAGCAGGACTCCATCCTGCAGCGTTTCCCGGCGTAAAGGCCGGAGTTAGTGTCCCTCTTCTGCCTGGGAGACATGTGTCCACCGAGGTCATCGCTGGCGTCCTTCCCCAAGGCGCTGAAAGGCTGCAGGTATCCCGACCAGCGATGCCACCGCGCCCCGGGGTGGAGACTACGGTCATCACGCCGATGGGGACCCCGTCTGGACAGCGGGACTTGTATCCCCCCAAAACAAAACAGCAGAACGAGACAGGCACCGGCGGCGAACAGAATCAGGTATCGTTTTTTGGCCTGCATGTGTCCAACGAGCTGGAGGAAGCTGTCCGTCTTGTGAATCCCAGAAGAAGTGCCGAAGTTTGGGTCTCAGCACCGCCACCTCCTCCTGCTCCTGTGGGAACGTTCCGCCATCTTCCCCCGGGCTGCTGCTGCTGCTGCTGCGGCTGCAAGGGCTGAGCGCTGTCGTCTCCCTCCTGCTGCTTCAGATGCCTTTCACAAGTCCGAGAACTGATCCAAAGCATGTGGGCGACTGTTTTAATGGTCATCCACCTCGGTCTCCTCGTCAGTTGTGGCACCGATGAACTGACAGCAGCCTCACCGAAACAACCGATGGACCCACCGCCGGTTCACTCAAATCTGGACACCTCGAGTCGCACTTTTCTCTGTTGAACGCCGCTTCCACTGAACCAGAAACGAACATTTTAACACGGTTTGCCGTGATATGTCTCTAAAATTGAACAGTGTGTCATAACACGACCAATAAAACATATCTGAGTTATGAAAGCAGCAGACTTGTTGCCTGGACAGTTAACTATTGTTCCTACTATCCTCTCTCTGTTAAAGATAAATGAATCGTTACTGAAGCTCTGAACATCCAAACACCACGATGATTCTCAGTTTTACCATTTTAACTGCTTTGAAATGTGGCTTTAAAACCGCTAATAAACATCTACAGACGACTCCGCTAGCTTACTAGCAAGCTAACTAGCTAGTTTCTGATTTCATTTCCAGTTAGCTCGAGAGCTAAGCGGTCGATCATCAAAGGCTTTTTTTTTTAAACGCCGGCAGGTTGGAAGTGAAAAGGCGTAAAAACAAATCAGTCTCCTCCCTTCAAATAACTAGGTCGCTCCGCTTGTCCGAGCTTGTCGTCTTCTAAACGGAGAGGATAATACCTCCAGTGGTGTAAAGTGCTCAAGTGGCGGCTCTCTCGCCCGTACACTCACAAACAGGAGTGCTGTGGAGGAGACGAGCCAAAGCAGTAGCAGCGCAGCACGGACGGGGCATGTCCCACTACCGCCGACAGGGTGACGTTCCTCCACGGCTGCACGGTGCGTTTCTATTGGTTGCCGTCACATCCGAAGCGGGCGGGGTCCCCAAACACGCTGGGTTCTCTCCCAATCAGAGCCTGGTCACTCTTGGAAAAGTTGTTGTTCTTTTGAGGCCTAATGGAGGGTCATTTACAAAACAAGACTTTTCATCTAAATTTGTTTAAGAAACAAAACGTTGTTTTTTTGTCTTACCAACAATAAAGTTATTTTCACAGTTTTGCTTTATTTTTTATTCATTGCTGATGTTACCATTATTGGTCTTGTAGGTTTGGAAGCCCATTTCCGCCACCCTGATAAAAAAATAAATAAAACTTGTATCTCATAATTATGAGATAGTATCTCATAATAATGAGATAGCTAAGTCATAATTATGAGATAGTATCTCATTATTATGACTTAGCTTTATGAGATAGTATCTCATAATAATGAGATAGCTAAGTCATAATTATGAGATAGTATCTCTTAATTATGAGATACTA